TTACCCACCCCAGCAATTAAGAGAACACGCTCAGGGCGTGGTAAAAATGCCCGTTTTGGGCCTCCCCCCCTCGCGCGGTCCATCAACAAGGAACAGTAAGCAGCAAGAAGCAGAACTGTAACAGTGGAAACTGGAAGCTGCAACTGGCACAGGAAACTGCGAAGCTTCGGCCTACAGCCTTGTGGCCCCACAAGGGGGCCGGCGGATATAATGACGCGTCCCAAGAGTTCCAGATGCTTTTGTTATCCCGCTGCGGCCAGGGACGAATGGTTGAAGGCCGCTAAAAGCTTTTGAAGGAACAGCAAGATTAACATATGGTTTAACAGGCTGCGGATATCTCGAGATCGGTCACATCGATGGTGCCTACGTGCGCCGATAGCTACGTCCAGAGACAAGCGCGCAACGAGCAACGAGGTTTTTGATCATCACTGTTGCCAACACCACCCCTCCCCCTGCTCATTCTTCTTTCGCATGTTGTCTCATCCGCTTGCGCCTCCACATGCAGCCTGTTGTCATTATCGTTATCCTCATCCTCTGGTGGCTCGAGCCGTTTTCGTTGTGTTTTGGATTCAGAGTTAACTGAGACCGAGATGCAAACACGACATGGGTATTCACATATTTCCTCCTTTACTTTACACATTACAAGCCAGGTGACTCTGTCCTTGGTCTTACTTTCCATGAACGATATTACCACCTGCGCCGCTATTGCAAGCAGACGTGCCAGGTCACAGGGGGCCTCTTCGTGTGAAAGCGTCGGGTGCTTGGACATGTTTCTGCTGCAATCTTCAGTGGACGCGACGAACGAAGACCAACACTTGGAGGTGCATTCAAACACTGTCCTTGGCGGGGTACATCGAGCAGTAGCGCTAACACGAGCACAACGTTACCAACACATGCAACGTAGCCATCGTGGCGCAACGCAGCCATTCACAGCTTCGGCCCCGCCAACAGCGGCGCCGTCATGTGTAGATACCGACAACGGGGCTACCAACAGGTTCGGCAATTCTTGCGAAGTCTACACGCACGATGCTGAGCAGCCATATGCAGGTATCTGCATGGATCCGTATTACGACGACGATGATTTCACCTCTGCGGACATGTGCTGTGCGTGCCCAAAGGAGTGCCCCGAGACCCAAGAACTGGATAATCCTAGTCAGTGTGAGGATTGGATTCACTTCTCCGATTCGAACGAGGCAGGAGGGAGGACATCGCATTCGAATCTTGCTGGGCTTGGCCCAGAATACCATAAGCCTAAGGAACTCAGATATTATGGAGTTGGGCAGCTTTCAAATGGCGAATACATCGACATGGTTTTTGTCAACACAACCACATACCGCCCGAGGAACACTGGATGGAACAAGATTACTGGCGCTCAGGCGACGGTGAATCTCCTCATTGGGGAGTTTGCTACTCTGAAGGGTGAGTTCGTGAGAAACCACACCTTCTGTCCTGAGAAGCCAGTCCTGCCAAAAATCACGTTCTGCGACATTGACCATTACCAGGAGGGGGAGAATGAGGTGTTGTATCTCGACGGTGTCAGCGCTATCTACACCGTCGACGGCGACATCGATTTTGATCTGGAATTGTATGAGGTTGACACTGTCGAAAGCGAAAATCCTGTTCCATTGGACTACACCACAGAATCGATCCCAACCTTGGTTCCGGGCAGGACTTCCCGCAGGTATGCTGCCAGCACCGGTGGTACTTTCGGTATCAAGACGGTCTCGCGTATGTTCGGCCACGGGTGCGACAATCCGACGGACCAGAACCAGTTGACCAACATCACGTGCCCAGACGAGTCTGCCGCCACCGTGGACCAGGCCAAGCGATGCTTCATGGCTGAGTTCTCCAACACGAGCAAGTTCAGCGTTGGGTTCAAGATTTTGACGGACAAGCCCGAAGAATACATTCAGCAGTGGGGCCGCAATTTCGCCATGGCCGGGACCTCCATTTATTTTGCACGCGAGGGCAGCCGGACTTGTTTAACAAGAGCACCGACAAGTGCTCCTACATTTGCACCGACAGCTACACCGACATCCTCACCAACAAGTAAGCCCACGCTTGAACCGACAGCATCTCCAACCTTAGTTCCGACCGCCGCGCCGACTGGTGGACCGACACCTGCTCCGACTGCCACACCGACAGCGGCACCAACAAGCGCGCCCACGACTGCCCCGACAGAATCGCCGACGGGTGCGCCGACTTCTGCGCCAACAATGGCACCCACAGCGTCTCCGACCGGATTTCCCACCTTCGTTCCGACCGTAGCGCCGACAGGTGAACCGACGTTTGCACCGACAGTTATACCGACAAGTGCGCCCACTCCTGCTCCGACTGTCACACCGACAGCAACACCAACCAGCGCGCCCACGATTGCCCCGACAATAACGCCGACGGGTGCGCCGACTTCTGCGCCAACAATGGCACCCACAGCGTCTCCGACCGGATTTCCCACCTTCGTTCCGACCGTAGCGCCGACAGGTGAACCGACGTTTGCACCGACAGCTATACCGACAAGCGCGCCCACTCCTGCTCCGACTGTCACACCGACAGCAACACCAACCAGCGCGCCCACTCCTGCCCCGACAGCGTCGCCGACAGTTGCACCAACAAGCGCGCCAACACCTGCCCCGACAGCTACGGCGCCAGCGGAACAGACGACAGCGTCTTTTCCCACAGGATATCCATGCTCTTTGTGGCCGCAGGGGCTTCAGGTTTTTGCTGGGTGCTCTGGGTGTTGGCGACTTGGATGCTCTGGGTGGTCGGTGTTGTCGTGCACCGTGGGGCCCCTAACACGATTTGGTGAGCCTAATGTTCTGTTCCACGGTGCTGTGTCATGACTTGTTTTGCCCAGGAAGCATGGCACGAGTTGGTGGACCTCGGGTGTTGTGCCTTCGAACATCCCTGGAACCGTCATGTCGTGTCGTCGCTGCTCAGCGATGCTGTGCGACCCTCCGATCCTGGCATGTCCAGCCCCATGCATTCTGGGGCGGCCAGCGATCGAGGGGGGCGATGACCAGGGTGGGGGGGGGGGTATCACGGCCGGGGTCATGATACCTCCCAGATTTCTCGAGCCTCTCTTCTTCTTGCAATCTGTCCCCTGGCCCCCCCTGGGCCGCGCACATGCCTCGGGCCATGTTTTGTCCCCATCCCCTCTTAGGCGCCCCCCTCCTAGATGCCCCCGAGATTGACGGGGACAGACGCAGTCCAAGAGCCGAGCAGAGAAACGTTTGGTGCAGCAGGTCGCAGCGAAAGATCAAACATCATAATTTGTTGGAGCTCCGCGTGGATTTCTCTGATCTGTTTGCTTGGCGCCCCAGGCGGCGCCTCCAGCGCCGCCTCCGGCGAGTCCCGCGAGCCAGGGAGGGGGGGCCTGGCGCACATCCAAGAAATCTTCGCGGAGTTCCGAAAGGTTCTTGGTGTGCCGCTTCTTAGTTGCTGTGTAAGGGCGCCAAACGTCCGTGGGAGTAATTTGCCGACGCCATCTGGGTGTTTTACCTCAGCTGTGGCCAACTTGCAGGAGGTATTCGCACGCCTGCTAGTTGGACAAGAGCAGCCTGGCTTACTTGCAGCGCGATGGCCTCGCAGTGGGATCATCGAGCTCTTGTAGTTGTGCAGTTGCGGTTGAGATGTTCCGTGTCCGTGGCAACAGGTGGTTACGGTCAGGAGCTTTTGCTCAGCGTGTCGCGGCGGCGGCCCCGACGACACGCTGTCTCTCGCAATGGCGTGTCGCTCCGATCCGTGGGGTGGGAGGCTCGGGACGCTGGCGCCTGGAAATGGGGACTCGGATAGCATGTCGCGCCGAAAGCGTGGTAGGCCAGAACGGGCGGAGCGACACGCTGAGCCAAAGATCTTGATCCTATGAGTGTTGATGCGTCGTTGAATTGCACAGAGGACTTCCCCTCGTTACGTTCTGGCTGGGTCGGGGAAAGTGTGTTTTGCATGGCGAAGTGTCAAGTCGTCTTGAGTGTTTTGAGGTTGTTGCTTTGATTGTGTGGTCACAGGACCCGTTGCCACGTCATCAGCTTCCGGGATGATGCCGTGTACGACATCAACGGGAGTCGTGCTGGTTCTTCCAGCATCTACAGGCGAGAACAAGGTGGAAGTGTGCACCGAGACCGGGTTTAGAATCGGGCAGTCCATTTTGATCACTGGTGGTGGGCATTCAGAAGTACATGCGATCGTGAGTTTTGGATCTATCGTGCTGGATACGCCATTGATGCACGCTTTTCCAGCGGGTTCCATTGTCGTGGCAATAACGCCTGTACCTACACCCGCACCTACACCTGCACCTACTGCACCCGCAGCGCCGGTAGCAACATCATCTGCTGGATCTATGGCGCCAGTGCAGTCGAGCGCAGTAGGTGACCCACACATGGTCAACGTGCATGGACAGCGCTTCGATTTGATGCAACCAGGCGTACACGCCCTCCTTCATTTGCCCATGAAGGCGCGATTGTCAAACGTGCTACTTCATGTGGACGCGGACGCCCAACAGGTCGGTGGCGTGTGCGCGGATACTTACTTCATGAGCATCAACATGACTGGGAAATGGGTAGAGGCCAAGGTCCACTCGCTTGGGCAAGCCAAGGGTCGGGGGCTGTATTTCACGGCAGGCAGTGGAGCAGCCCATACGGGCACAAAGTGGATGGTTTTTGGGACGGTGCGGCTGAAGGTGGTTCACGGCCGCACCAAGGGTGGAATACCATACCTAAATTTTTTCGTCCGCAACCTGAGGGAAGCAGGCTGCCTCGTGGGAGGGCTTCTTGGGGAGGACCTCAGGGACACCAGCCATACGTACACCGACACCATGCCTGGCCAGGCCTGTCCATTGCCACTGGATTGACGTGTTTTCGAGGGGATATTTCAGTTACACGCGTGAGTGAACCGTCGCCGATGTGACCTCCGGTGCGCAGCTTGTGGGGGGCGCGCGGGAGGGGGTGATTGGGGGCAAACCATCGTTCGCAGGCCGCTATTGTCGCATCGCATGCAGCCGCCGGCAAGTCGCGCACCAAAGGTCACTCTTGCTTGGGGCCACTCCTTGCGTGCAGCCGAACCCTGCGGCCGAGCTCCATTGTCTTCAACGCGTTGGGGTAGGCGTTCTGGAGGGAACGCACCAGTTTCGGGCTCTGGTCGGGGCAGCGGCTTGCTTTCATGTGTTTGTCTGCGGCAGGTCGGCCCGCACGGAGTTCCCTGAATTGCTTGGCGATCGGTCGACCTGCACAGCGGTCGAGGTCGAGTCGCGTGAAATTATGTGGTCGCGCCCCCCCTGACCTGGCAAACATCTGGAGCAGCCGAGAGGGGGGTGATGACTGGGTGATCGTTGTCTGATCCATTGTTTTGCCGGTCGGCGCGGGCCCTCGCTCCCCCTCCCCCCCCAATGGAGTAGATTTCGATTGTCTCTGGGGCCCTGTTTCGAGCAGGTGTAGTCTCCCCCATAGGACGCACTGCTGCAAACAGCTGCATGAAGTTGAAGTCCGGGGCCACTACCGCCCCTTCCGCCCAATGTCGAAGCTCCGAAAGAGAAAACGGTCACCAGGAGGGGTTGGACATCATGACCGGGGTCATGATACCTCCCCAGATTCCATGGCGCTTCTCCTGACTTCAGGGCGTCCCGTGCCACCCCACCGTGGGCCGTGCACATGCTTCGGGCCATGATCTGCGGACCCCCCTCTCTTGGACGCGCCCTTCTTGGACGACCCCGACGACAACAACCAAAGAGGGCAACGCACTCGGTGCGGCCGGCCAGGGGCGCTCGAGAGACCCAACCGAGACCTCGAGACCCCGCCAGCCGACGCACCAGACCCACCAGGGAGGGAGGGCGGGGAAGCTGGCGACGCCAGCCAATAGCCCTCGGCCCGCAGACGAAGCATCGTTCGCCAAGCGCCTTCCTGGGGCACCGTCGTCGGTCCGCAGACGCCAACTCCGAGCACCACGAGGTGTGCTTGGGCCCTCAGGGGATCCTTCGGGCCCACACGGGAGCCTGCGACACGGCGCCCCCCTTGCCAGGCCCTCGGGCCGCCAGGGAAGGCACAACACAACTACCCCCTCGGGAGCGAGTGCCGACACTTGATACCCCGCCTCGGACTCGGGCGGAAAACAATGCAGCCAGTAGCGACGAATCCCCGAATCCAGCCATGGCGACAAGGATGCAGCCTGCCCAGAATCTTCTTCCCCAGGAACCAAGCTCAGGGACGACGAAGATTATGGTGGGCTGCCTCCCCCCTGGGGTGGTCCAGTGCGCCCGCACTGACAGTTGGGCAACGCACTCGGTGCGGCCGGCCAGGGGCGCTCGAGAGACCCAACCGAGACCTCGAGACCCACTGCTGGGGCTCACGGCGACCCAGGCCGCACCCCCCACTGCTGACGACGTGACCGCAGCCCTGGAATACCGACGCCACTGCAAACGCCACGCCGGGGAGGGCTGGGGGGGAGGGGCGGCGGAAGGCACGGCGCAAGCACTCCGCGCATGGAAGCGACATTTTACTGGCTCACGGCGCCGGCGACCCCTCGGACGCAGACGACTCTGAGAACTCAACGAGCCACTCCGCCGCGGTCGCCGCGTCCCGCGACGCCGCGGAAGCGTAACCGAAGGCGGCCACTCCCCGCCATCCCCCGCTGTGGAACAGCGCTGGGACGCCTCCGGCCGCCAGGCACTCGTCCGCCCACCCGCGGCGGAAGGCGTGCGTGCCCCACTCTCCCGCGCGCTCGAGGCCCAGCGCCAGCGCCGCCACCTTCAGCTGGGCCAGGGCGTGCCTGTATGACAGCGCCGGAAAAACCCGCCCTGTCTGCACGCGACCGCGCAGCGCGCACACCCCGCAAAGCTGCCGGGACTGCAGGGCACAGATGCACCGCCTGGACACGACCGTCGTCTCCGTGTACGTCTTGCGCCGATGCAGGTGCACGCTGGCCGTCGGCAAGCCGTCCACGGTTGACAGGACTACCTTGGAGTGGGGCCCGTCTGCCTGCAGTGGCACCAGTTCGGACGCGAAGCGGAAGCAAAACTGCCTCGCCACTACGAACGCATCCGCTGTCTCGGGATCGCCCAGAACCTCCCGGACGTGCTGCGCCAAGGAACGTGTCTGTCGCGCCGACGCCCGCGCCCGGAACCGCCGAGTGGCCACAGCCGCTTTGCTCGCACCACGCGCCAGACACGACGTGTCCTCCAGGCACCCCAGCGGCATGTGGAGCAGCCGGAGCACAGTGCGGACCTGCGTGCAGTAGGTCATCAAACTGGCACCGTTTTGCACTGCAAATGCGAATGCCCCGAGCACTGGCTCCGACGGGGGCCAAGCATCAACCCCGAGGTTCCGGGCCACTTGCCCCCACAGGCGCACCGGAGAAGCATACTTGTATGCGCTCCGGTGCCACGCGAGCAACTCGCGTCTGAGAAGTTCCTGCGTTGCCATGAACCCGGCCATCTCGGGCCCAATCTGGGCCGCGCGCTCCCGCGGATTGCCGGGGATGCCACCGTGGCGCTTCTCCCACGCAAGCTGAAACTCCTCCGGCGTGACGCGGCCCAGCGTCTGCACCGCGTCCGCCATCTCCCCGGGGCTCACGAGCTCGCGCCGGAGGCGCGCTGCAGCGAGGAAGCCGAGCGCCGCCAGCGCAGCCTCGCCAGTCTCCGCGGCATGCCCTGTGGCCGGCGCCTCGTCCTCTGCATGCGCGGGCCCTCCTGCTGGGGGAACCTTGCTGGCCGCCGGCGCAGGCGCGCCCCGCTGGGCGCGGGCCTCGGTCTGCGCGGCAGGCTGCCCCACCGCGGCGCGGGCTGGAACGGTGGACAAGGCCGCCGCGAACTCGTCTCGAAGCCCGTGGAGACACGGCCACACGTCCTTCAGCTCTTGGACGCCCAAGCCGGAAAAATCCGATCCGTCAACAGCGCCCCCCGCTGCCAGGCCCCTCAGAACGCACTGGGGCGACGGCGGATGGCACGCGGGAGGCGCGCGCCTGAGCACGGCGGCGAACCACTCGCACAACGCCACTGGGGCCAGCGTAGGCACCGCCGGGTCTGCCAGCCGCGGCCCGATCAGGTTTGCCGGTGACGCGCGTGGGGCCAGCTCAGGGCCGCCATCGCCACGAGGCTGCTTGCCCCGCAGGCGTTTCCGGTCCATCTTGGGCCAAACCGGCTACGGATGACAAGGAACGCGGGCCCAGTAAGCCTGACTGACGGCAACGGACGACCGACATGCATTACTTGTTTTCCTTGAGCGCACAATACTTTTTCCCTCGCTGGTTCACGCCTGCCAAAAGTCTACTGACGGCCAAGCCCACTCGAGCCGGGAAAAGCCACTGGCAGCCAAACGCTGCATCTCGCTCGCCTTCAGCTCCTCCCGGGTTGGCCAATCAGCAACATTGAGATGCGACGGCACGCGAAAAACGCTAAGAATCTGGGCGCGGTCTGCCGCGGCGAACCATATGCCAGACACTATGTCGTTCCAGTCGCGCTGCCGTGAGCAGCCGCGAAGCAGGGTGCCCAACGCCACTGTCGAGTCTATGAACAACACGATGTCGAGGCCACCCGCGTTCGCGGCTGATTCAAAGAAATACCACAGAGCGCAGACAGCGGCCACCAGCTCCCACGTGGCGATTTGCTGCCGGCGGAAGCACGCCCACTGGTTGAGCCAGCGGGGAACTCGCGCGGAAGCAAAAACTTTCTGGCCTGCAAACACCGCGGCCCGAGCCAGCGTGCCTGCCCCTGTAGCGTCTGTGCAAACCACCAAGCGCGGTTTGCTTGATGGCTCCAGAGGCAAACTCCTACGAGGATTCGTTGCCAGAAACCGTTGCCACCATTCAAGCGCCCTGACCAGACGCATCGGCATCCGGCTGCTGCTGCCATACGCGTGCCGGAACAGTGGGGCGAGGTACACGCGCGCCCCCTTGCCAAAAACTTCCGTGGCTCCCCAGCTGAGCCGCCCGGCTAGTTTCTGCGCGCCTGCTGGGGAGAGCCTCCGGCTGGCCAGGATGTCTGAAATCTCTGCCGACCACTTGGTGCATTTTTCGGCCGGCGCGACAAAATGCAGAGACCGCGCCCTTGCGTCGAGGGACACGCCCACGCCGAGTGCAGTGAAACCGCGAGCGGCGGTGACCTCCTTTTGAGTGTCAAGCCGCCACCCGAGCAGCTCCTGGATCACAGAGCGGGCGACGGACGCGCTGGTGGCTGCAGTATTGTTGCCGGCCATAGCACTGTCTGCATCTGCTCCAAAAAAATCGTCCACGAAACGCGGATACACTATGCTGAACAGATTCAGAAGAATGCACTGGAAGGCAATGCCCACGCGCTGCCACGCGTGGACACTCGCTTTCGCCCCAAACGGGCAGCAGAGCAGCTGCAGGAAAGACCCCCGCTCAACCGAGTCAGCCGTTACGGCGGCTGCAAACGGCATGTGGTCTTCGCGCAATGGCAACGTCTTATACGCACTGCACACGTCGTCCTTCCGGAACCGGATGTGCTCCACGCCGGTCCCGCCAGCGACTAACGCCTGGACGGTTGCTGCCAGGACATCGAGCGTCTCGTGCTCAATGCACTCCAGCGCCGCGGCCGTGGAATTGACCCCAGAGGCTGTGAGGTCATCGATGGCCCGTACTTTCAGGGACCACCGGCCGTCCACGACCCGCCAACCCTCGTCGGCAGCGAAGCGCGGCGAGAGCACGACGCCGGCGAGGTCGGGCGGCAGCGGGCGCCAGCCGGCCTGGCCGGCCCCCACTTCAGCGCGCGTGCGCTCGCGCAACGCCTCGGCCACGTTAGCATCCGATGGCCTTGCTGCTCTGACACTCTCAAGAATGCGTTCGTTCTGCTCCGGCGCGCCCTGGAGAAGCTGCTCGGGGGACTCGCCGGGCAGCCCAGCGCACGGGCGCATAACGCCGCTGCGTGGTATCTCCCCGACGAGGGGGAAACCGCACGCCAGATCTGTCGGTAGCGCGAGGTCCGGCGAGCCGGCCGCCTCGAGCATTTCGGCAAGCAGCACCAGATTCTTCTCCGGCCCCAGGATGGACCGCACGTGGGCGGGCAGGCCCGCGTATTGAGCCAGCCACGCTGGAGCCGTCACGCGCTGGCGGTGCCGCCAGAATGCCAGCTGGCGGGTCCTGAACGACAAAACTGCACTAGGGTCGGCGCGATGCCAATTAATCGCTGACCTGTACGCCTCGGGGGTCTCCAACACCCCGGTGCACCTCGGGAGGCGCAGCGCCCAGTCTAAATGGCTCAGGGGGCCCTCGCACCCGGAACCGGAAGGGCCCTGTAAACACGTGCCCACTGCATCGCGGAGCGCAGCGAAACCGCAGGCGGCGCCGGGGGCACCAGCAGGGCTCTCTGAGAACCCCTCCGCGTCGGAGGACGCGTCGCCCGGGTCGCTCTCCGGGCCGTCTCACCAGTTCGACCACTTCTGCTCGGGCTGCTTCCAGGCCTGCTTCTTGCCCCAATTCTGCTCCCACTTCTGCTCGGGCCCCTTGCCCCCGGCGCCCTTGCCTTTCGGCTTCCTGCTCGCCGCCGGGCTCCTGGAGCGCCGCAGCAAGGGCGACGCCGGGGCCGGCGAGGTCTTGGCGCCGCCGCCTTTGCCGCCCTTCTGGTCACCCTTGGGCGCCCCGGCGTTGCCGCCAGCAGCGGCGGGCTGCTTCCCGGTCACCCGGCTGGCCTCCTCGGCGCGCTTCGACACCTGGTGCTTGGCGTCCTGCAACACATCCCTGTCGAGCTTGCAGAGGAGCGCCTCGATCTGGTCGTTCTGGCCAAGCTCCAGCGCGTGGGCGAGCTTCTGCCGCAGGAGCATGTCGTAGTAGAACACGACGCGGCCGCCACCCTGCTCCTCTGACATTTTGACCAGCTGGAGCTCGTAGGCCCAGAACTGCACCGGGGTGATCACCTTGGACAGCACCATCTTGAGGCCCCAGTCGTGCAGGTGGCCCATGAAGCTGGCGAAGCCCAGGAAGCCAGCGCGCTCCTCTGCAGTGCGGGCGCGCTTTGCCTCCCGGGCATCCCGCGCTTTGTCGTCCAGTGAACCAGACCCGAGGAGCAAGTCCAGCTTGGGTGTCTTGGAGAAGCCGGGCTGGAAGTTGACGATCAGATCCTCGCCCTCGGAGGACCCGACCCACTTGCGGCTCTTGTCTCTTGCGACCCTGGCGGAGGCAAGGTTCTCCATTCGCAGCAGAGACTCCTCGGTAGGGAGCAACTCCGGCGACAGTTTCTGGATGCACTGCAACCCAACCTCCGTCACTCTGGCCTCCAGGTTGAAGCTCAAGGTGCCGCGCTTGGCCTCCTTCTCGGCCTTTGCGTTCTGGACCTCCGCCCACTTGGCGATGGCCTGCGCCGTCTGGTCTGCCTGGCTACTCGGGCCCGGCGCGCTCGCGGCCGATGACTGCTGGGCCTTTGATTGGACCCTCAACGCCAAGTTGACGTGAGCCGGCTTGACCACGAAGGCCTTCCACTGAACGCCCTCGCTCTCGTCGGGGAAGGGTTTCGTGTTAACCGCCATCCCCGAGATGATGAATTGGCGCATATGGGCGTCGCAGATGTCTGCCGGCTCCACCGACCCCGCCACGTCGGCGAGCACGCGGGCCGTGCTGGCGTAGAAGAACAAATCGTGTTTGTTCTTCGGCTCCTCGTCCACAGACATCACGTAGTCGACCCAGGCCGCACGCTTCTCGAGCGAGTCGACCCCGAACGCAGACTCGGGAAGCCCGGCGAGCGCGGCGCGGACCTCGGAGCCGGTGAACGCCATCCGTCGTGAGAGCGGGTGTGGCCGCGAGAGTACTGTGAACGCCTGGGCTGCAGTCGCAGAAGAACAGGCCGCGCGGCAGAGTCCTCGAGCCCAAAAGGCAACGGGACCACGATTGGCGATGGCCCAAAAGGCACGGGACCACCGAACTGCTCGTGAAAGGATGATAGGGTGCTCCCAGCAGCCTCTTTGCAAAGGTCATTAATTTTGCGAATGCCCTCTTAGGAAGCGCGGCTACCGTCGCAGAACAAGACACGTGGAAACGGAACCCGCTGGATTGATCCACGCCCCCCTGGATTAATCCGGGGCTCTTTGCGCACAGGAAGCGGCGCCCTTGGCACCAGCTGCGCGCACCGCCTCTCCATTAGTGGAAAGAAGACGAACATGCAACACCCCAGGGCGCTGGCGGGCCAGCGGACGCACGGAACAGGCATTCCAGAGAGCTTGCCGGATCGAGCACGATTGCACGAGCCCGCCGTAGCAGAAGGCGCACCCACGCAAACGAGCGAACGTGACGCGGCGCTGAAGGCGAGGTGCTGTTTCGGGAAAGTACAGAAGACCCTTCCGCCCCCTATCCCCGTCTGCGACCTGGATGCACCACGCAGGCCTGCAGACGGCGTCATAGGGGCACGGGCGTACAGACTGAGAAACGAGTGCGCACAGGCGCACCGCCACTCCATTAGAGCTAGAGCTCTGTCGCCCGCCAGCGTGACAAGGGCGGACCGACGGAAGACAGACGACCACCGACAGGGAAGCGCAGTTATCGTCGCAGATGAGCGTGCCCGTCCAGCGGGCCACCCAACCGTCCAGGGCCTCGCACGAAGCCGCCCCCGTCACGCATAGGACATGGTCCGCGCAGGCCCCGCGAGCCAACACGCCCCTCACACCCATCACTTTTCGATTTTCCAATTAGAGCGGGGGGAGCGAGGAAAGAGAATCAATGATGGTGTGAATTACGGGGACCCGCACGCAACGAGGACCTCGAGGGCCTCGGTGCGGTCAAGGCGGCGCGCCGCCAAGCCCAAGCTGCCCTATGGGGCAGGGGGGCGAATGCTGGCCGACCAGCGGCCCAGCAACCAGGAGTACTCCAGAGTACTCCGCCCCTGTTTGTGGGGCTGCCCTCGGACAGAGCCCTGCGTGGGTTTGCCCTCGGGCAGGGACCCTGGGAAGGGGTGTCCTCGGACAGAGCCCTGCGTGGGTTTGCCCTCGGGCAGGGACCCTGGGAAGGGGTGTCCTCGGACAGAGCCCTGCGTGGGTTTGCCCTCGGGCAGGGACCCTGGGAAGGGGTGTCCTCGGACAGAGCCCTGCGTGGGTTTGCCCTCGGGCAGGGACCCTGGGAAGGGGTGTCCTCGGACAGAGCCCTGCGTGGGTTTGCCCACGGGCAGGGACCCTGGGAATGGGGTGTCCTCGGACAGAGCCCTGCGTGGGTTTGCCCTCGGGCAGAGCCCTGGCGACGCCAGCCAATAGCCCTCGGCCCGCAGACGAAGCATCGTTCGCCAAGCGCCTTCCTGGGGCACCGTCGTCGGTCCGCAGACGCCAACTCCGAGCACCACGAGGTGTGCTTGGGCCCTCAGGGGATCCTTCGGGCCCACACGGGAGCCTGCGACACGGCGCCCCCCTTGCCAGGCCCTCGGGCCGCCAGGGAAGGCACAACACAACTACCCCCTCGGGAGCGAGTGCCGACACTTGATACCCCGCCTCGGACTCGGGCGGAAAACAATGCAGCCAGTAGCGACGAATCCCCGAATCCAGCCATGGCGACAAGGATGCAGCCTGCCCAGAATCTTCTTCCCCAGGAACCAAGCTCAGGGACGACAAAGAAACGGCTTGGTCCGGGCCCGGAGGGGCAATCAACATGAAGAACAACCAACAACAAGAAAAAACAGAAAAGACACAACAAACCACAACCAACAAAAAAGAACGAAGAAAGTTTCCCCGCGCTTTCGCCGCCTATCCGAGCGTCGCCAGCCCGCAGTTGTGTGGTCCTGCCAGCCGATGATTGCGGGGCAACGGCAGCGAAGGATAGGCTCAGGGGGAGACGCATCGACCCTGCATCGCCCGTTCATCGCCGAAACGGGCTCGATATGAGGCGTTCGAAGAAGGGCCTTGCCTTCGAGGATCGAAGGAGTTGTCATCTCTTTCTCGGAGGAAGGCGGCGTAAGGTCGGCGGAAGTATAATGAGACCGCCCCCGCTGGCGGAAGACGGCGGAAGGCTGGCGGAAGGTGACGGACGTAAAATATGCACCCCCAAGAGATGAAAACGTTTTTGGGTTCAGGTTTTCGAACGGAGGTGTTGTCCGGGGCCCATCGTCGCTCTATCGGCGATGCATCGCCGATTCCAGCCCGATGTTTCCTCCCAGGAGCTCGTCCCCCCTACGTTCCCCCTCACTTGGCGGGGATGGAGGAGGGGCCGTGCGCCGATTCCAGGTCCAGGATGGGCGTGGTCAGGCCCGGCGTTGGCGCATCCTTCCCAGATATCCGGCTATACGATTGTTGTTAGACCATAGTGTGGTTCCTCGATTTGGGCTTCCAGGGCGCGTTATTGGGCCCCAGGGTCAATCAACATATGGAGCGGGGACGCGAAAAACTACCCTTGGGGAGTTGGTCGGGAGCCCCATTGCTGGAAAAACCATGTCGGAGGATGTCTTGATTTGGGTCATCCGAAGGACGACCACACGGAGGCGGCTATCCCGACCAGCGCGTGCAGGAAGGTTTTGGACATCTGACGCATGCGATCATTTTCCCGGCCTTGTCCATTCGTGCCGTCACGGACTGACGCCCCAAGTCGAGATCTCAGTGCCCCTTCCCGCTCCAGCTCCTGCGCTGGCTCTTCCTTCTGCCACTGCTGCTGCCGCGTGCGGCAGCTTCGCTGACCCTCCCGTTCTTGGCCCCCCCCTCGTCCGCCCCGATCCCGCCCTCGCCCCCGCTTAGTCTGGCTCAATCCTGGGCCAAGTGTGGCCTTACCCGGCCCGGCCCCGTGATCGGGCTCAACAGCCCTTGATTCGGGGGCTCGTGGAGAGGGGGAACTGTTCGAAGGTGGGGCTTGGGAACGAGCGCGGTTGGATGCTCAGATCTCCTTCTTCCAGGGGCCGCTTGAAGCGGTGTTCCTCCCAACCCCACCTCTGCCCCTACCCCACCTTCACGTCCCCCCGATTGACCGTCGGCGGCGGGCGAGGGGAGGAAGTGAGAAGGAGAAGGCCCTCTCAGAAGGCGGCGGGACATCTCAGAAGCCCTGTGACCTGCTGAGGAATTGGCCACGTTTGTGGGGAAGGCTCAGAAAACTTGTCAAAAGGCCAGCGGACTTCCGATCCTTCTGAGAAGGCCCGCCCCTTCGCCCTCCCCCCCTCGCTCGCCGCCGAGGTCGTTCCCACGAGGAGTTCCAGCGCTCCGCCGTGGCACTGGCGTCGTCCTCTTGGCTGCAGCTTCGTCTCGGCTGCCGCCAGGAGTGCCCCTGGCCCAGGGTGCCCCCAGGATCTCCATGGAGGCCCCCCACGGCCTCCAGAGCACCCCTTCGCGGAGCCCGGGGGGACCCCAGATGCTCCAAGGTGGAGCGACAAGCTGGGAGCACCTTGGGCCAGGGGGGGCACCTTTGGCCGCCGCCGATTGTTTGCTCGGCTTTCGCCCCGCAGTCTCCAGACAGCGCCTGCCCGAAGTGGGTCCGTGCTTAGCCTTTCGGTGCTTCGTTGGGTGGGTTCCCAGGGTTTTCGCGCGGTGCCCGTCCGTGGGCGCCTCGTGGGCGCCTCGTGCGCCAGCTGGGTTCCCAGGGGTGTTCCCCGGTGACCCCCGCGGGCGCCTCGTATATGGGCCACGGCCAGGCCATCGGTCGGTGTCCGTCTCGTTGTGGAGGTTGCGGTCGGCGTCGCCGGTGCGCGCGCATATTCTGGCCAGATTTGAGAGACTCAGAAGGGCACCGAGCCGTCGTGTTCCCCGCTTTCTGGCGTCCAGAAATTGCGCCCGCGCTCACACGCAACGTTGGAAGGCCACAGATCTAGAGGCCCCAGATCTCTGGGGTAAACCATGAATCGCAAGGTTGCTGCATCTGTGTGTCCTCAGACCGTCGTGCCTTCTCCGAGACACGTTGTACTAAGGTGCTCCAGGGTTTCGTTCTCGTGATCTCGGGGTCCATCCCCGCTCCCCCTCCTCAGCCTCACCCCTGCCCGTCTCCATCTCCCTCACCTCGTTTTCCCTTTCTCCTCCACCTCTCCCGTCTTCCTCCTGCTTCTCCTCCTCCTCCTCCTCCTCCTCCTCCTCCTCCTCCTCCCTCCTCCTGCTCCCCCTCCTCCTCCTCCCTCCTCCTCCTCCTCCTCCTCCTCCTCCTCTCCCCCCCCCCCCTCCTCCTCCTCCTCCTCCTCCTCCTCCTCCTCCTCCTCCTCCCCTCCTCCTCCTCCTCCTCCTCCTCCTCCTCCTCCTCCTGCTCCCCCCCCCCTCCTCTCCTCCTCCTCCTCCTCCTCCTCCTCCTCATCCTCATCCTCCTCCTCCTCCTCCTCCTCTCCTCCTCTTCCTCCTCCTTCTCCTCCCCTCCTCCGTCCTCCTCCTGCTCCTCCCTCCCTCCTCTTCCTCCCTCTCCTCCTCCTCCTCCTCCTCCTCCTCCTCCTCCTCCTCCTCCTGCTCCCCCTCCTCTCCTCCTCCTCCTCCTCCTCCTCCTCCTCCTCCTCCTCCTCCTCCTGCTCCTCCTGCTCCTCCTCCACCTCCTCCTGCTCCTCCTCCTCCTCCTCCTCCTCCTCCTCCTCCTCCTCCTCCTCCTCCTCCTCCTCCTCCTCCTACTCCTCCTCGGTAGCCATTCTGTCTCAACCCGCTTGTTTGGCCCAAGGCATTCTGGGCGTTTCCAAACCCCGCTCACCCCGCCGCCCAGCCATGGCGCCGGCCCTGACGAAGAGGAAAGCCGCCCTGCGGGCCGGGTGCGCGGCGCTGGGGCTGTGGCGGGCCAGCAGCGCCTTCGCCCCGAGCCTCGGGGGTACCCCGACGAGGTCGCGCCCACCTGCGTGGCGCGGCGAGCCCCGCCGGGCAGTGCCCCGCACCGTCGGGCGTCTCCGCCGCCCTCGCCTGCGGAGCCGCCTCGGTGGCCGCGGGGACCTCCGCCGCGCGCCGCCCCAAGCAGGTCGCCCCCTGCCGCGCGTCGAGCCTTCGAAGGCGAGCTCGGGGTCCAGGCGCCCGTGGGCCAGTGGGACCCCTGGGCATGGCGGCCGCCGGCGGCGTGGAGGACTTCGCGCGTCGGCGCGAGGCCGAGCTCAAAAACTGCCGCGTTGCCGTGCTTGCGCGCATGGGACGGTGCCAGTGGCGCAGCACCGGCTGGCAGCCCCCGCTGTTCCGCAGCTGGCCCCGCCGCGTGAACGCTCTCCGTCCTCCCCCCTGCCCGCGGCCGCTTTCTCCCCTTCCTTCCTTCCCGCTCGGCTTGCCCGAGCGCGCGCGCGGATCGCCTTTGCCGCATTGCGACGTTACCCTGACCTTCCAAGAGGAGGGCTTGAAAATAGCACCACGACCTATGTTCACTGTTGACTCCCGCCGCAGTGGCTCGATGCCTCATCCTCCGACTCTCCTACCACTCCTCCTCCTCCTCCTCCTCCTTCCCCCTCCTCTGCTGCTTTTCGACTGCGTCGACCAGGCTGGGGCCATCTTCAATCCGCGCGTCGCGGCGGGCTTCGCCCTTGCCGAGGTCGCTGTTGTTGTTTTACCGAAGACGGGGGCAGGGAGAAGTTCAGGCGCCGCCGGGAGGTGAAGCTGGAGCACGGCCGCGTCTCCATGCTGGCGGCCATCGGCCACGCCGTGCCCGTTTACTAGAAGATTCCCCGCTTCTTTCCGCCCTCCCAGGGAGTCCAAGCTCGAGGACGTCCCCGACGACCTGGGCGCTCTGTCGAAGGTGCCCCCGACGGGCCTGGCCCAGTCCGCTGCCTTCCTCGCCCTCCTCGAGCTGGCGCGCCACAAGCCCAGCGCCAAGCTGGGCAGGCACGGCAGGAGGAAACTGGGCCGCGGTTGGCTCGGCCTCGTGGGGGCCATCACGGATCCCAGGCCGAGGTCGACGAGGTCGAGCGCAGAGATCTCGAGTGGACGCCTGGCACTGGTGGCCATCATCGGCATGTTCTTCCACGGCGCAGGGTGCCCGGTCCAAGTCCGCACCAGGAACCGATGGCCATGTTTCGATTGGGCGGCGAATTTTGCCGGGTGGGGGGATTCTTGCTTGCGCCTATCGGGCGCATTCGAATTGTCCGACTGGTGCTCGGGAATCGCTGGGAAACCACCTCGTTTGGACGCGGGGGCCGCTGGGGGCATCGAGCGTGCGCCAGCGCTCCTGGATTCGGCAGATGGCAGTTCAGTTCCTTGCTCGCCTAAGGGCCGAGTGCAGCTATTACAATCACGTGGTCAGCACGATCAGATCTACGAGGCGGAGGTGCATATAGCAGGCGCCTTATAGGGATTGGCAGCTGCTGGAACAACAGCCACGGAGGGCATTGGTCTTGGAGTGAGACGGCGTGCAACAGCGTCAGGTCGTGATTATCGCAGGATCGTTCGCGATCGACTGGGGGGCAAAACTTCGCGGCTGGCTCCTCAGATCGGGGCAGATGTAGCAGGCCCCACCGTCCCGCGGGGAAACCGTTTTGACGATGGGCACTTTCCTACGCGCACCTCTGTGAATGATGAGCAATACCTCTCGCCACCTTTTGGCGTGTCATCCTCGTCTGTTCCCGTGCTCGATTGTTTTCTCCCTGCTCTGCACGGCCACGGGCCCGGCCCCGCCAGATGCGCGAGGCGCGAGGGGGCGCTGGCCGACGCATTCGCAGAGGGGTCTCACCCGAGGTGCTCGCGCCCATCGCCGTGGCAGACATCATGCGTAGTGAAGCCGGCACAACATTTTCTGTGGAGCTCACTGACCCCCGCATGTTCTTTCAGGGCGGTCTCATCGGATCCACGCGGGGCGACTGGGCCTCTATGCCAGCGGCCCCCAGCGCGCCTTCGGCGCCGAGACTGGTGTCACGGCGCCGTTCAAGTATCGGGGCCCACTCGGCACGTCCGACACCGGGCGACTTGTCGGAGTCCCACGGCCGCCGCAGGGCCGATATCAAGATCGTCCGCGTCGCCATGATCGCCCGCGTCAGCTGGGTCGCGCCCGAGTGTTTCCGGCGGCCCATCTACCTGTCGCCATCTCAGGAGATCCAGTTCACCGACCTCCTCAACGGCTCCGCGGTGCTCGAGGCGATGTTGGCCGATGGCTGGGAGCTGATCGGCGTTTTCATCGCTTTCCTCTCGAGTTCTTCCCTGTGGTGCAGGCGAAGGACTGTGCCCCGGGCGCCTTCCTCACCCGCGGCCGCCTCGACGCCCTCGGGCTCTTCGTCACCGGCGGCGCGGGCAGCGACGGCGTTCCAGCCGCCCACGGGCGGGGCTTGGACTGCGGGATCAACGCCCTCCGCCGGGCGACGGTCGCGATCACCGGGATGGCCTTCCAGAACGGCGTCGCCGGCACCACCTGGCCAGAGATGTGGCTCTTTCAGGCCAGGGGCAACGAGCCGGGCTGCCCGGTGACGAGCGCAGGCGCGCGCCTGGCGGGGCGGAAGCGGTTCCTCCTCTTCTACGTTCTCCTCCAATTCTTTCCCTGATAAGTAAAAATACTTGTTCCCTGTCGCACGCCGAGGCCAGTTTTCAGGGCGGTCTGGGCGTTTCGCCTGAGACTTCCTCGCGATGTACGAATCTGAAGCTTAAAATTTACAATTGTTTCACAGGTGGAGGGCAGGTCTTTTTCAAAATGTGGCCTTCGCCTTAGCGGGTCGCTCATTCGCTTCAAAAAATGTCAAGAGTTTCACGGGTTAAGGGCGACCTGTTTTCAAAATGTGGTTATCGCGTTTGCGAAGCGCATTTTCTGTTTTAAAGTTTGCAAGGCTTTCACGGATTGATGTCGACCCGTTTTCAGAATGTGGTTCTCGCGTTTACGCGGCGCACATTCGTTTTAGGAAATTGCAAAAGGTTCACGAATTGCGGTCGACCCGTTTTCAAAATGTGGTTCGCTTGAGCGCGGCGCACATTCGTTTTTAAAATTGCAAGAGCTTCACGGATTGAGGACGGTTCCTTTTCAAAGTGTGACTCTCGCCTTAGCTCCACGCACATTCGTTTACAACATGTGCAAGCGTTTCACGGATTACAAGCAACGTTCCAGCAAATGTGTTTTGAAACGATTCAGAAAAGTGCGACTGCAACAGTTACGTTGGTTCGTTGTGTTGAAGTCCCAGGAAAGGTGTTCTGGTATGAGTCAGGATTGTCAAGACGCAACAATCAGGTTGATCCGTGGAGTTGGAATCCCGCGAACAATGTGTTGGCATGTTCCAGGGTCTTCAAACGGTTGTCTTGCAAACTGGCAGCTCCCTCAATTAATATGAGCCGTCGCAGGAGCCTATGAAGATGGAGCGTGGAGGAAGGGTTCATTCCAACATCGTCGATGAACCTTGGGTTTACACTGGTCTGTTTTCTCCTCATCCTCCTCCTTTTCCTCCTCCTCCTCCTCCTCCTCCTCTTCCTCCTTCTATGCAGCAGGCGTCGGGCCCTGACAAGGTCTGACCCTCCCACTATAACTGTTTCTTCCCCTCACCCCCCCCCCCGTACTCGCCCCCCGCCCCACTCCCTCCATACCCAGCTTCCCCATCTGCCATTCCTCCCCCGTTATACCGCCCTCCCCTTCCAAAATAACACGGCATGAGTTCTATTATCATACGTAGCACCCCGCAGTTGCGGATAAGAGTGAGGGGGCGGCGGGGACGTCGGCAGTCTGCGCGGCTCTGATGAAGCCCGCCGCAGGCGCCTAATTTTTACAAGTTATACAACGAGCTCCCCAGATCCGCCAATTTGTTCGGTAAAGCAATGTGGGTGGGTCGCGGGGTGGGTCGCGGGTGGGTCGCCGATGGGTCGCGGTTGGGTCGTTGGTGGGTCGCGGGCCGGGTCGCGGGGTGGGTCGCGGGTGGGTCGCGGGTGGGTCGCGGGGCGGGTCGCGGGCGGGTCGCGGGCAGGTCGTTGGGTGTGTCGCGGGTGGGTCGCGGGGCGGGTGGCGGGTGTGTCGCGGGTAGGTCGCGGGTGGGTCGTGGGTTGGGTCGCGGGTGGGACGACGCCAAACAACAACAACAAGTATCAACAACAATGACAACAACAATTACAACAACAACAACAACAACAACAACAACAACATCAACAGCAACAGCAATACCAACAACAACAACAACAACAACATTTCCACCACCAGCAGCAACAACATCAAAATCCGCATCATGGAATTCCATTTCAGCCACGCACCCAGGGACAGTGAATGGCGGTTCGACCGCGTCAATCTGACCTCCGTGGCTGATGTCCGAAGGGGCGAGTTTCATCCATCATGCGGTCTTTTTGTCCAGAGGAGGTCCAATGTTCTCTTGACAAATATACATAGAGACACGCATGCATGCGTACAAGGATATTTGTAAACATGCACATGTTATATCGGGGTATTATTGATGTTCGTGGGTGTTTCCGGTGCAGCGTCGGCCTCATGTCATAAGCGATGTTTGGTCCCCGTCGTTCAGAATAGCGCTTGCCCTCCATCCAGCACGTGCCATATTTCTAGATCTGAGTCCTTCGTCGTTGTCGCCTCCCTTCTGTCAAATCCCCTCCTCCGCCTTCCCCTGGTCCTCCTGCTCCTGCTGCGGTTGCTGTTCCTCCTCCTTCCCCACCCTACTCTTCCCGCTGATCGGCCAGCGGAAGGCGGGCGGAGGGCGGAACGGCGGCGGCTCCGCCAGCAGAAGACTGGCGGAAGGCGGCGGCAATGCAAGAGAGGCGTCATCATGTAAGAGTTCCGGGTTACCAGAACCGGACAGGCGGGACGTGGCGCGAGGTTTGGCGCCGTGACATTTGGTTTGCGCCCGAGGTGGTCTGATTGCCCGTCGGATTTGGCCTCCTGGCGTTGGGTTCTGAAGGCCTCAGCTTTCCTGGTCGAGCTTGCTTCACTTGTGTTTCTGCTCGGGCAGACGCGTATGAGCGACGTAGAAAAACGGGGTCGTTTTCATCAACATTTGCGTACAAATTGCCCGCGTAGGGTCGCGCGTAAGTGCCTTCGCCGCCAATGAAGAGTGCCGAGCTGGCGGCCCGCGTAAGCCGCCGCGTAAGGCCGCTGTGCCATCACGCGGAAGACCCGTTTTTGATCGTCGCTCACTCGTGCTTCTGTTCGGGCAGACGTATATGAGGATAACGCGCTCCAGAGCGTTCCGGAACGCTCTGAGAGCGCCGCGGAGTTCTCTGGAAGGGCCACGGCGCCCGATGCGTCCTCCAAGTTCGCCAGTTCTCAGAGATTCTCGATCGAGTCTTGCCCGACTTATCTTGCCTTCGTCGTAGCTGTCCAGGGTTATGCTCGAGGGCATCGCTCGATCGCTCCTCTCCGACCAGCTTCTCCGCGCTCTTGCTCTTTCCTTCCCTCTCTCTTTCTCTTCCTCTCTCTCTCTCTATGTCTACATCTGTCTGCAGGTGGGTCGTCTCTGGCCCCAAGGCGTTCCGCATGACCAAGGCAGCCGCCGGAAGGGGGCTGGGGAGGGCCAGGCGGAGCGGGTGTGGCCATGCGAGGGCCCGACTGGGATGAGCGCGTTGGTGGTCGGGGCGAAAGGAGGGAGGGGGAGAGGAGGAGCGGATCAGGTCGGGGACCCACGGAAGTAGGGCCAAGCCCGTTCTATTGGGTGAATGCCCGGCCCATGTGGGCAAGACGGCTGGGGTGGGCCCGACCAGGGGCCAGGAGAAGCTCAGGGATCATGACCCCGAATACAAATCCGAGACAGAAGCAAAAGGTGACCCCGAATACAAGTCCGAGACAGAAGCAAAAGGTGAGCCCGGGTGAGAGCACTGACAGATCAGCCGCCTCCCTCCGTCCCCCTCCCCCCACACCTCCGCGCGCTTCTTGGTCGGCGGTTTCTCGGGTCCGCACCGCGGGCGCGCTACGCTGGGGCATAGTCGAAGCTGAACCACCTCAACGAACACGTCCTGGACGGTTTGCCCTTCGGCAGTGGTGGCCAAATGTGGAGAGGAGGGGAGGGGGGAGGGGAGGTCGAGGAAGATGATACGCACTGGCGGATGGCACAGCCGTGAGGACGGTTGGCCCCTGGAGGGAAAGTTGGAAGGCTTCCCCACCCACCGCCAACACGCAATTCGGAGTCGTTCGCCCTGGGCTGTCGGGCCGCCTTGGGTGGGCGATCGACGTGTGTGACATGCCAGTGGAGACAAGAACGTTTAGATAGTAAGTCACGGAAGCGTTTGCTCATCTTCTTGCACTGAATGCACATATGTGCGAAAAGCGTATGCATATAGGCAAAACCGTCCAAACGCGCCCAATCGCGCCCGACAGCGCTCCATAGCGCACACTGGCGCGAAAACAGCGCCCGGACGGTGCCCCCCTTGCGCCCGATAGTGTTCAGTGGTGCCCAGTAGCTCCCAACTGGGGTGCCCGACCTCGCCCAGATGGCGCCCCATAGCGCCCAATGGCGCCGCATGAGGGGGGGGATGCATGACGCCCGCTCTGCACGCTCGTGGACACGCCATGGGGCGCCGGGGGGAAGACAAAAAGCTTCCCTGAGCTGCTCTCAGAGAACGTCGGGGTAGCCCAAGGGAGGGGGGGAGGAGGGGGAGGAGGGAGGGCGGGAGGGGGAGGGAGATGGAAGCACGCATCGCGGCCAGCTCGGCGCTCGCGGCGGCCACGGCGCCGCGGCTCTGGGAAGATGGGGGGGGAGGGGAAGGGGAAGGGAGGAGGGGAGCAACGGAGGGAGGAGGAGGAGGAGGAGGAGGAGGAGGAGGAGGAGGAGGAGGAGGAGGAGGAGGAGGAGGAGGAGGAGGAGAGCGTCCAGGGCCAGGCTAATCTCGAAGCATTGCCCAGGGCTTCCCAGGCTGGTTGCCCAGTCCCACCCGTCCCATAGGCTCTGGGTGTGTCGGGGTGGTGGTGACGGGCTTGGAGGGTCCTGGGGACGGGTGAGGACACGATCATAGTTTGTAGAACGTGCGGGGCCTACGGCAGGCGGAAGGCCTTGTTCCTCTCGGACGCTTGTGCCCCCCTGGCGCGCAAGGCCCTCGACAGGCTCCGTGGAGGGCGGGAACCCCGTTCCCCGTGTCCAGGGCCGCGTTGTGCACATAAACTCCAGGTGTCCAGGCCCGCGCCAGGCCTCTTCTGTTGCCTTAACGGGCCGTGGGTATGAAACCTGAGTGTGTTTTCCCTCGTCAGGGGAGTGGTAGGATTGCTGAGCAGCCCGCCCTGTGTTAGGAACCAGCGGGACCATAGGAGGAGGAGGAGGAGGAGGAGGCGGAGGAGGAGGAGGACCAGTGTAAACCCAAGGGCCATCAACGATGTTGGAATCACACCTCCCTCCGAGCTCCCTCTTCATAGGTCCCTACAACGTTTAATTTCCACTGAGGGAACTGTCTCGTTGGAAGACAACCGTTTGAAGGCCCTGAAGCATGCCAAAACATTGCTTTCGGGATGTCCTACGTCACGGGTCAACCTGACTCTTGCGCAGTGACGATCCTGAATCGCGCCAGAACACCATTCCCGGGAGTTCAGCACCGCGAATCAACGTAATTGTTGCACCCTCCGAATCTTGAGTCTTTCCAGCACACCGTTCCTGGCACGCTGATCTGGGAATCCGTGAAACTCTTGTGAATTTATAAACGAATATGCGCAGCGCCAAGGCGAGAGCGACATATTGAAAAGGAACCACCCTCAATATGTGAAGCTCTTGTCTTTGTTTTTCTCTTGCACAGGGTGTTTAGAGCTCCGACCATTCTATTCTGCGTCGCACACACCCTCCCCCCCCCACGTCCCCAGCGCCCCAGAGGGAGCCCCGCCCACTACCCCCTCCGCCACGAACGCTTTATTCCACGTCGCACACACCACCACCACCCCACCCACGTCCACAGCGCCAGAGTGGGACCCCCGCGCCGTGGCTCTCTGCCCCGAGCCCCCCCGCGTCCCCAGCGCCCCAGCGGGAGCCCCGCCCACTGCCCCCTCCGCCACGAATGCTGTATGCCGCTTCGCGACGCACACCACCTCCCCCACCTTCCTCCGCGCGTCCCCAGCGCCCCAGTGGGGGCTCCGCCCCGTGCCCCCTCCGCCCCGACAGTGTGATTCCGCGTCGCGACGCACCTCCCCCACTCCCCCCCCGTCCCCAGCGCCCCGATAGGACCCCCGCCCCGTGGCCATTTGCCCCAAGCCCCGCCCAGTGCCCCCTCCGCCCCGACCAGTTTATTCCGCGTCGCGACGCACACCACCTCCCCCACCCTCCCCCTCCGCGTCCCCAGCGCCCCGGTAAGAGCCCAGCCCAGTCACTCCGAGCCCCCCCGCGTCCCCAGCGCTCCAGTAGGAGCCCCGCCCACAGCCCCCTCCGCTACGAACGTTTTCTTCCGCGTCGCACGGCCCCCACCGTCCCGCCCCCACGATCGTTCTCCCCTCCCCGCCCGCCCAGTGCACCCCGCCCCCCCCTCCGCTCCGACCATTTTGTTTCTGCGTCGCACCGCCCCCGCCGTCCCGCCCCCCCGAGACTTCTCCGATTTCTCATCCTCTCTCTCTCTCTCTCTCTCTCTCTCTCTCTCCCCCCCCCTTTCCTCCTCCTCCTTCTCCTCTTCGTTTTCCTCCTCCTCTTCCTCCTACTCCTCCTCTTCCGCCTCCTCCTCTTCCTCCTTCCCCCTCCGTTTTGTGCAAGAGCCATGGCACGCGTGCCACTTGAATGTGCGCGGTGCCAGAGCGAGAGCCACATGTTGAAAACGACATGCCCTCCATCCGTGAAACTCTTACAGCGTTTGAAAACGAATGTGCGTGGCGTTACGGCGAGAGCCACATTTTGAAAACGACCCGCCCATCCGTGAAACTCTTGCCAATGTTCAAAACTAATGTGCGCGGCGATAAAGCGAGAGCCACATTTTGAAAACCACCCGCCCTTCATCCGTGAATCTCTTGCAAACTTTAACGAATGTGCTCGGCGCTAAGGCGAGAACCACAGCTTGAAAACGACCCGCCCTCCATCCGTGAAGCTCTTAGCACTTTTCATAAAGGAATGCGCGCGGCGCTAAGGCGAGAGCCACATTTTAAAAACCACCCGCCCTCCATCTGTGAAGCCGTTGCCACTTTTTGACCTCGATGGTCATAAGTGGTGAGAGGAAGTCTAGAAGGCGAAACGCCCAGCCCGCCCTGAAAAATTTGCTTCGGGGTGCGATAGGGAGAAGCTATGTACGAGGACAGGGAACGGAGGAGGAGGAGGAGGAGCAAAATGAGAAGGAGGGAGGCACGCGCACGAGCGGATCACCAGCTCGGCCGCCATCGCTTCGGCACGGCGCACCCCGCGCGGGCGCGCGGCGGCAGGAGGTGCGGTCGTCTGCGGGTGGGGGCGGGCGCGGGGGAGCGGGGACCAGGCAGGCGCGGCACCAGAGAGAGAGAGAGAGAGGGAGTGAGGGAGAGAGAGAGAGAGAGAGAGAGACCGAAACACATATCCCGACGGCAGGTGGTTCTCTCTCTCTGGGGGCCCTCGCCGGGCCCCAGGACCGTCAAAGAACAATTCAGGATGGAAAGTTTGTCCTGCAGAGTGGGTCGAGACTTTTGCGGGTCGACGCAATCATGGCGTCGGTGGTCTGGGGGGAGAGGACCAGCGGCGAGCGAGGGCTGGAAGCCAGAAGGAGAAGGCTTTCTCAGAAGGCGTCATGGCTTTGAGAAAGCCCCTGGCCTTCTGACAGATGTTCTATGTCTTCGGGGAAGGCTTTGAACACTGATCGAATCGGGAGGACTTCCGACCCTTCTGAGAAGGTCGCCTCTTCTCACATCCCCCTCGCGCTCGCCGCTAAGAGGAGGGGACGCGGGCGGAGGACGGAGAGGGAGAGAGGGAGATTCCAGGGACGGAGTAGGTGGGCGCCGGCCGGAAGGCGCTCGAGCGCACCGGCGCTGGGAGGGTGGAAAGAGAGAGAGAGAGAGGCAGGTGCCTTGGCATCGCTCGGACGTGTGCAGCTGTTCTGCATCCTGGCCCATCTCGCGAAAACTAGGCGCACGAGGTCGAGAAATGTCCGGGGAGCGGACGTCGGAGCGATGGCGAGGGGCGGGTGGCGCCACACAGACGGCTGCCGCTTCCGCCGCCGCATGCCCGGGAGAGCACGCGGCCGGCAGCGGCAAGAGGATGACTGGCGGCCGCGCGCGGGGAGGCACGGATGTTCGCGGCTCGGTCGAAGCGGCCGCGTCGCAGTCGGCTGCGTTCGGTGGGTGCGTTTAGGTCGGTTGTCGTGCCGCTGCTGCGTCGCTTCCGCGCGTGGGGAGGCAAGGATGTTCGTGGCTCCGTCGAGTCGGCCGCGTCGCAGTCGGCCGCGTTCGGTGGGCTCGCTTCGGTCGGGTTGTCGTGTCGCTGCTGCGTCGCTTCGCCCTCACGGGCTGCCTGCGGCCTGTGAGTGTCGGTGTCAGATTTTCGGTTTCGCCGTCGGCCCCGGTCGGTCTCTGGTGGTGCCGTCACCGTGGGCGGCCATGGGAGAGCGCAGGAGTCTGAGGGGGGGAGAGGCGGAGAGGCGGGGAGGCGGGAGGCAGCGGGGGCTGGAGCGGGGGAGAAGTAGACCTTCATAGGAAGGCAAGAGCCTCCTCTGACGGAGGAAACCCTACGTCGAATGGACAAGCAACATTTGCTGACAACCACGTCGTGTAGCCACATGGGCAGCCTTGCTGAAAACCGCGTCGCCGACGAACAGCACGATGGCGTGCACGTGCTCGTCATTGGCGAGTTTACTGCCGCGGGAGGAGGAGCACAGTCGAGGCTGTTTGGTAGCTCGACCCTGTCAAAGCGAGGGTACTGCGTTATTTCGGGACCCATGTCTTCTGCTCTCCGATGACAAGGTGGCCCGACGGAAGGGTCTTAGGTCCTCTCGCATGTTCTCTCCTGTCAACCCCGACTGTAGGAAATGGGAGAGGCGGAGGGTGGTAGGAAGAGGGGGAAAGCAGAATGATGAGACGAATGAGGACCAGGGGCAACGTCAGTGGTGGGGACAGGCCCAGAGGCATACCCACCCCCAATAGCCCACTGATCGCCGACACCTGCCCGATAGCCCACTCCGCCCAAGACCGTTCGGACTCACTACCGGGGACCTATCGCATATCGATCGGCGATATATCGCAGATTCCAGGTCGATGCTTCGCGCTTCGCCCCCCCGCCAGGGGCAACTGCAGCACAGTAGAAGCATCGGGGACCATTGATGATGTGTTTGGAATCGCGGCACTGGACTGGTCCTGTACTCATGTTGGCATGTTCGGTCAAGACGTTGCCAGCGGACGAAAGATGCCTCGCAAGTGTCGGATCGAAAGATCGTTCACCTGGTTGTTGCATTCAGCTCCCCTTGTGCGACCATAGTTGTCCGCAGGCTGGCGTCAGCAATAGCAGCTACACGCTCTGCGAAGGCAGCTTTCTCAGCTATGCCCTCTCTCACTGAAGAGACATGACGCACATGCCTTGGCATTGTTCCCCAGCCAGCGCCTGCGCTGAAGGGGTCCTCGCGGATGTTGTACGAATTTGGCGACAGTTGGCCACCGATTTCGTCAGGCGGCCTGGTTGTCAGTTCCGGGTTTCCCAGCGTTTCAAGGAATTGTCCAAAGTGTGTCGCCGATTTCGGTAGGCGGCTGGGTTCCAAGTTCTGGGTCTCAGTGGAAGGTTCCCGCCGATCCCAGTGGGCGGCCAGTTTTTTGGGTTCGTTGGCGCAGAGGGTAGACATTGGGGAAGATAAAAGAAGCTTGTTGCAGAGGGTAGGGCGAGTAGAAGAGTGGAGAGAGATCAGAGAAAGAAACAGAGACAGAGAGAGAGAGAGAGACAACATTATCCCAGTGCGACCCTACCTAGGAGTTGGAGCCTCCAGGAAAGCAACATTAGTAGGAGCGGTAAACGCCGTCCTCCACCTTCTTATCGTCGTAGTTATAGCAGTAGCGGTAGTAGTAGTAGTAGTAGTAGTAGTAGTAGTAGTAGTAGTAGTAGTAGTAGTAGTAGTAGTAGTAGTAGTAGTAGTGGAGGATGTTGTGTTGCGCTATGCTATGCTCTGTTATGCTATGCTAATGCTATGCTATGCTACGCTACGCTGCGCAATGCAATGCTGGGCTAGGCTAGGCTAGGCTATGCCATGCTATGCTATGCTATGCTGCGCTATGCTATGCTGCGCTATGCCATGCTATGCTATGCTTTTGCTTTGCCTTCGCTTTTGCCTTCACTTTTGCCTTTGCTTTTGATTTTGCTTGGCACCCAGGGAGCGCAACTGGGGGAACCGCGCGTTTGCTTCTACCTTTGCTGTTGCGTTTGCTTGGCTCCCAGGGGACTGGGGGAACCGCCCAGGGCGGTTTGCACTGCCCGGCCCCTTTAAGCCAAGCGAGTAAGAACCTTTCTAGGCAGAGCCTAGGTAGGGAATAAAACAGAAAAAGAAAAGAGAGGCAGCGAGAGAGAGAGAGAGAGAGTGTGTAGACAATATACATAATACGATGGGTTACCGAGAGTACATCGTGGAGCAGAGTGCAGACGGCAGAGTGCAGAGTGCAGAAGAGAGCCGGCAGTAGAGACCCAGGAGCGGGGAGGCAAGAGTAGAGGAAAGAGAGTAGAGAGTTCAGAGTAGTGGGTTGAGGGCAGGAAGTACATGATGAGGAGGGCGCATGAGAAAGTATAGAGTGTAGATCAACAGAGAACCATGGTTGTTTTCCTCTGCTCCGGCCGTGCACCAGCGCGTTGTTTGCTTACACATTGACGATGCAGCAGATACAGCTGTTTTATATTTGTGTGCATGTATGTCTAAAAACTCGTACTAGCAACCGGTGTACACTTGCATCTGATGTTGCGCATAGGCCCAGATAAGCCCAGTCGCCGAGTTCTCGATTTCTTTGTGATCGCGCATCTCTGTCAGCCCACCGAGTCACAGATTCCCAGCTGAGCTGTCGAGAGCAGAGGGTAGTGGCAGTGCAAAGGCCAACTACGGTATGTCCGTGTTGTGCCGACGCGGTAGCGACCCAGCCATTGGCGTTCCAGGTTGAACGCCGCCAGTGAACTTGAGTCGGCCAATATGGAATGATCTGGCGTTCGGTACAGCTCCGATCGTCCACCATGCGGTGACAGAAACTAACGCTTGGGTCATCAAGCCATCAACTTGCCGCACAGAAGGGGTCCTTTGTCACGCCTGAGTTGGGCTCAGCCCGAGTTGCCCCGAACAGTGGCGCAACAGGGGAACTCTGGACACCGGGGATCTCCCGGCGCCAGTTGGGGCGCCGTCGGGCCCGCCGTGAGGCCCTCTTGGGACCCCTCTGGCGGCCGTCGGGGCTTGTGTTGGG